AATAGCTTATAATGGCCTTGTAGGAGATATGATATCACTTCTTTACCATATAGAATCAACAGAGTCAATGTGCAAATAATCACCAATAATATAAGACCTAAGAAGATGACTAGATCTTATTCTCCAATGCCAACTTTTCACTTACTATTTCAATCCAAATCTATAAGTTGGTACCTCGATAGCTAAAAATATTTTATATTTTTGTTGTGATTTCTAATGTTGTATGTCGCCTCAAGCTTTTGCCATATATTTGGATCTATTTGGTCTTCCATGTTTCACAACTCAAGGAGTTTTATATTGAGCTAAGGCGATTTTTAGACTGACACCAACTACTACCACCACCACCACTATTAGTTGTAATTGATGACCAATAAGAATATGAAGTGGACAACATTTTTGAGCATCACTACCTTTGCTGTGGCAATGGATGTCTACAACTTCAGTACAAAGTCTTTTAGAAAAGTTATTCCATATATGATACAAATAAAAACTTATACAAAATTTCATCCATTGTCAAGAAACAATTTGAAAATACTATCAAAAAAAAAATGAGGGCATTTTGTATTAATGGAAGAAAATTAATTGTAACGGGGTATGGATAAGATTTTTGTATTGTTGAAACATAAAGGTAGATAATTGAAGCCATATTTGAGAAGTTTCTAGAAGTTTTTAGAAGTTTTAGAATTGAAGCTAGATTAGTGGTTTATGGAGGATCTACCATAGAAAATTCTAAAAAAGACTTAAGATGGTTATTTTTGTAGGACCTATCATTAAGAATATTCTAAAAAGTTCTAAGATGATTGGACAAAGTATAAATAGGATTGGCCAACGCCATTTGTGTATCTGTTCAAATATGACTTTAGTCCCTTTTTCTTAGTAAAGTTTGATTTTTTATTTTTTTTGTTTAATTTTATTCTATTCTATTTTAATTTGTACTGCCTTTCATGTTTTATTATATTTAGATTTATTCAATTTTTTTCTAATCTATGTTGTCCTATATTATAAAAAGATTTATATTACTACAGATTGGAAGGGTTTTAAATCCTAGAAATAGTCTAGTCTTATTTCAATATTGTCATTTAAACCAAACACTCTTTAAAATAGTATGCCTTTGATTGTAAAAACTTAGAATACTCAAGAACTAGTAATTGAATGTGTTGTATAATAATTTTGGTTGTATTGTATATTTAGGTGGCGTGGATAGCTTAGAACTTGGTTTTAACATCTAAAAGATTCTTAACATCTCCTTGTTCTTTTCATTTTTCTTGAGCATCTTTCTAATCTTTATTAACTACTTCTAGTTCTTGGATCTTAATATTTGCTAATACTGTCATATCTTTGACCTTTTAGAAGACTACTTATGTAGTCATAAGTTGAGCCATTATTTTGTTTGTTGTGTTATTAATACCACATGTTCTTCTTAAAGACCAACTATTGTGTATAAGTAAGTCTTAACCATCTATTCATGTATTTTTGAAGTAAGTTCATACAAATATAAGTCTTGGTTTCATCTAAAGTTGAGTTGATTTGAATGAAGAAAGATTGAAGGAAGATAATAATCTACGTTTGCATTCTTAACTACTAAATAAGAACCATTATCAAGTATTGAATGGTACATATCATTCTAGTAAAGTTTTAAAGCTTGGAAAAAATTTATGTCTTGTTTGAAATGTTAAGGTTTGTAGAATTAGAGAAGAAGAGTCTTGTCAAATAGTATATTTCTTATATTTTGATGGTTTTATGTACCATAATGGCATCCAATTTAAGATGCTTGCTTCTTGGAGTTTCTTTAGAGTTAGTTTGCTTAAATGACTTGGATTATGTAAGAAGTTAAGAGCTTAAAGGCATTGGTGTTTAGTATAGATATAATATAATAGCTAGTAGTTTTTCACTATGATATCTAATAAATACATCATTAAAGAAAGCTTAAAAAGAATGAAAGAAGAATATTCTTAATACATAAATAGATATCTAAGGTAATGGTAGATGTATCATATCAAAAAGGGCCCTTTAAGTTATGCACCTTTCAATTCTCTTAATACTTATGGACATCTACTTAGAATGCTTGATCCATGATAACACTCCAATTAATGTATTTTTTGCAATTAACTAAGATGATTGGCTCCAAATATGTCCATTAAATAAAATTAACATTGTTCCAAAAGATTATGATTGTTTGAATATCTCATGTGCAAATAATATATTCATGGCCTTGTATGTTGGCAATTACTTAAATTGAGTAATCTATCTTTTTTTGAATTTTTTTATTACTAAATCAATCTTATGCACATGAAAGAAGAAAACTATTAATTATTTTGTTATATTATGTGATGCCTATACCAATCCATCTAAATATCTCATACAAATATTGGCTATTCTATATGACTTGCATACTATCAATAAGTGGCTTTCTATTGACATTAGGTTACCAATTGCATTTTGTGCAACTAATATTACAAACTAGTAGTACTTGTCTGATTTTAGATTTATTCTAGACTTGTACAATCTTACTAGATTATGCTTCCAATACCACGCATGATCATTTATACACTTCTAAATAAAATCTTGGATGATGTAGCTATTGATCAAAATAGTAGTATTTTTATTCTAATTTGAAAAATTATGCGATTCCAACTTCAATTGTAGGAAGCATCGATATCTTTTAACTAAGGTCATTCCAATATTATCAAAAAATGGCTTTCTATTGACATATTAATAACAACAAAAGTTATTGAGGTCCTTACTGTGTGAATTATGATGTTTATATTTGTTAGGGACATATTCCTTAGAACTTTCTAGAGAGAAGTTTCTAGAACCTTCTAGAAAACAAGCCTCTGGAACCTTCTAGAAGAGAAGCCTCTGGAACCTTTTAGAGAGAAGTTTCTAGAAGCTTCTAGAAAAGAAGTCTCTGGAACCTTCTAGAAGAGAAGTTTCTAGAAGCTTCTAGAAAGGAATCCCCTGGAACTTTTTAAAAGCTTCCTAGTTAATAGAAGTAGCTCGAGAAGTTTCTAGAACCTTCTAGAAAGAAAGCCTCTGGAACCTTCTAGAAGCTTCCTAGTTAATAGAAGTAGCTCGAAAAGCTTCCTAAGTAGGAGTATATATAGGGATCGAGGCTGAAGAGTTCTTCAGTCTCGACAACACATCTCTTGGAGTTCTAGCTCACCTTTCTGGTGTTGTTCTTGTACTCATCTGTTTAATCTAGTTCTGCCACTTCTTCTTGAACTTCTTGTTAGATTTCAAGTCTGTATTTTGTGTCCGTGGCAATATAGCATAATAAATCCAAGGATTTTACTAGTGTATCATTAGCCATTTAGAGTATAAAAAAAAACTATTTGAAGATATAATAAGTCTAAAAAAATTCAAATATGCTCAATTACGACATTAATCCTAAATCTCCTATCTACTAATACATTTGGTAGTTCATATTTGCTTATTTGTAGATCAATGAATTTGGAATTTGAATCCATTGTTGCAACATTCATTTCCACAATAGTTGATGATGGGTTGTGAGTTCTAATGAACTTAGTTTATTACAAATATTTCAGTGGTTCTAGGCTTAGGCAAAATAATTAGATCAAAGATTTAATAACTTTAGTATTATTCTTTCAACTTGAAAGACCTAAATTCATTTTGGCTCCATTATTATAGTTGTTGGTTTTGGTTTGGAATTCGTATTTTGCTAATTTGGATTATTTGGATTATATCAGCATTAGTCTTAATGATTCCAATCATAATAATTATATTTTAGATATATATATTATTATTTTGTCTTAGCATGAATTATAGACTTTCTTCCCTTCTTCTTTGTTGAGATGTACTTCTTTAACTTCCTCTCTTCTTCCTTGTCTTAGTGCGGATTCTTAACTTCCTTCTATTTTTTTTTTGTCTTGGCAAGAGTCTTAGTTCTAACACAAGTTCCAAAATTCATCTTTTTTTTTCTTTTCTTTTTTTTTTTTTTTTGTCAATTGCCAATCAAAGGCCTATATTTTCTTGAATGTGCATATAGCAATTTGAAGTATATGTATAGCGTGAGTCTTTTAGATATGCCACATAAAAAACTTCTATCATGGATTTTTCATGTATAAGAATCTAATATGAAAGTGTCTTATAATTTAGACATTAGATCCATGAGTATCATGGTCATTATGAGACTTATCAATTAGTATCTATATATTGAAGTAAGATTAATACCATCTTTATTTTTGTCATTGCATTTCTTATATTCTACTTTAGATAAAAGATTCTTTAATCTATTAATTTATTAGTTAATTTAATATACATTTAGAAGTAGTCATGATAAAAAAATTATATCTAAACATTAGATAATTGATCATTTAAATATATTAAGTAATTATGAAAAGTACAAAAGATATAAATTATAATTTTAAAGAGAATAAAAATAAATAAATAAATAAATAAAACTTGTTTATCAACTTCTATAATTTTGGAAGCATATAAAGTCAAATCCTAATACATTCTATAATTTAATAACAAACACATTTGATATCATTAGAAGAACTAAGAATCTTGAGGTATCAACATAAACAATATACAATTTTGACTTTAAGTTTTCATCCAACAATTTTGACATTAAGATCTAAATATAGGTTTTAAAATGCTAAAGATACATACAACATGTACACGTTTATTCTTGTTAAAAATTAAACAACTAGAATATTATTTGCAAATACTAACCATGTATAATATACTATATATATATATATATATATATATACATAGATTCGTTAATATTCATGCTTCATGGACACTTTTGTGGAATGTAAGCGAATCTATCAGGACGGCCTGTCCGCATCCGCATTCGCGAGATAATTGTAAGTAGAACTGAGAGTAGGTGGCCGATTGCTATGTGATCATTTCGTCACCCTAGCAGATTGAAGAATCTGACTCACAGTCTCGAGGAATGATGCCGCACTAAAACAGTAATCCTCACCTCCTTTCGATAAACAATCGGCTGTGTGTGGCTCAATCCACAAACCCCTAAATAAAGGCGGAATTGAATCTATGTTCTCCACTACATTCAAGTCTCCTTCCCGAAATGTTAGGGGTAGTGAATATATTTCCTTCAAAGGCAGTGGACACGAGGTCGTGGTGAAGAAAGCGTGACGATGTGTTGCCGGGTCGGCCTTATTGTAAAATGCTTGCTTTCGGAAGCGTGGCGCAACTGTGGTTGAGCCTCCCGTGCTTCACTTCCTCGACTCTGCCTGGCGCAGCCGCAACGAGGTCGCAGTTAGGGAACCAACTCACCGCAGCCAGCACTTGCAGTTTCTAGAGCTTCTTCTTTCTTTCTCTTTTTTTAGTTTTAAGAACATATTTCCCCGATCCATTTCCTGTCATCACTCCTGGCGAGCATATTATGAAGATCATCACCATCATCCTGGTGCTGGTACTTCAGCTCGTCGATGAGGGGTTCACGGGCTTGGCAACTACCCTAGTACATCGACTACTTCTTGTAGCCTCTTCAGACCTGTAGTCGGGCGCTGCTGCTAAAGCTCTTCCGCGGTGTTGGTGTTGGCTTTGATGTGCTAGCTTCACTTCTACAGCGCTCTGCCTCTACTTCTGTTGAGGTTGACATTCTCTACTCTGTACTGATCTTGTTGGGTCGTTCTTTACACATTATCATGCTATGTCGACCTGCTGTTGTCTCTTTCATTGGTCCCTCTTCTCGTGGGAATTAATTGCCTCTCTTCATTCAATCACCGAGCGTCCAGTTTATGTTTTGAGAGTGTTCGTGATGCTTCTCCAGGATCACTTCAAAACGAGGGTTCTTCTCATGGATAGCAGAGACTTGGTCGTAGAAGTTGCGTGCAGCGTATCTGGAAAGAGAGACAAACTGTCGGAAGCTTTGAAACGACCGTTGCTTCGGAACGCTGCCGCGGATCTGATCTCGACAAGAGTCCCTCGGCTGTTTCTTTGATGTACTTAGAAAGTGGCCTTTATGTTTGGAGTCGTCGGTGGTCATGTCTATTGATGAATGCGAAGACAATTTACTTCATGACAATAGACTGCTGGTAACTTGGAAGACGTAGAGCAGAAAATTGCACTGAATAAGCGGAACTTGTAGTAATTGTTTAGTGTATCTCCTATCCCAATTATGAACTCGAGTTTAGCATCCTTTAGTTGCGGATAGGAACCACTTGGATTTCAAATTCTGTGACTCGTTCAATATGTGTTTGTTCAGGCGACCTAAGTTGCCGAAACGGGCACCTTCTCAGGTATCGCCGCCAGCCAGCGCTTCAGCCATGAATTTGAAGAATAGAAAAGTAGAAGATGATAGTGGCTTCGATTTGAGTGCTAGTAGTATGATCAGTCCATCCGAGTTGTCCAAGGAGTCCAAAGGTTCTGGAGGAACGCAGGGTTCTGTGAGCAGTGCATTATCTCTGGCAAGCTTGAAGGGTATGCTGTCAGATGGTGCGCGCTTTTTCACGTACAAGGACATACTGAAGGCAACGAAGAATTTTAGCCCAGATAATAATCTTGGAGGAACCACGTTCCGGGGCACGATTGCGGGGAAGGATGTCACAGTTGTTGTGGAGAAGAGGACACACGTGGATGTCGATTTTGTTGCCGAAGTCAGGAGTATCTGCAACCTACACCACTCTAGTCTTGTAAGACTTATAGGTGGTTGCATGAGTGGGGATCAGTCGTATCTTGTGTTCGAGTATAGCAATGGTGCAAATTTGCGCCAGTGCTTGGGTAGCAGTTTAGCCCCAGACGTCGCGATACTGACATCGTGGACTGAAAGGCTTCGAGTTGCCCTTGAAATAGCGAAGGGGATTGAATATCTTCACGAGCATACTTCCCCGCCTTCTGTACATAAATATATCAAAAGTACCAGCATAATCTTGGACAATGAGTTACACGCTAGGATCGCCAATGTTGGAATTGCAAGAATTCGAGGAGAAACGGCGTCAGAGCCTGATTCACCAAGCGTGAATGAGAAGAAACAACTCGACGAGAACCCTAGTTCGGAACGGCAAGAGAGGGGGGCTCCTGGTGGACGAGCTTTGAGACTCTTGGTTGGACGGCCGCGCAGCATCAAGATAACGGGAACACATGGTTATATGGCCCCTGAGTATGCTCACAATGGAGTTGTCACCCCAAAGCTTGATGTGTATGCCTTTGGGGTTGTTTTATTAGAGATTCTGTCTGGACAGGAAGCTGTAAAGGTCCAGCGAAGTCCTACAGAGAATGTTCTGAAGAAAACTGTCCTACCTGAGGTGATAGCTGCCATATTTTCCGACGATGATCCCAGAGCTAGGGTTCGAGCGTGGATTGATCCGGTGCTTAGGGATAAATTTTCATTAGATTGTGCATACAGGGCTGCCCTTGTAGCCAAAAAATGCGTGGAGAAAAATCCTGACAACAGGCCGATTATGCGCAACGTGACTCTCAATCTTGAACAAATTTACTCAGCCTCGAAGCAATGGGCGGACCACACTCTGGCAGCTAAGAATTTGTTGACGTCTTCATTCAATGGTCGATGAACCTTCCCTGTCATGATCCCATGGTATGTCCACAGATGAAACTCACGACTCACCAAGTGTATCATACACTTCACGCATTCTTAATTTTGATCCCCTACTCGACATTTTTGCTTTTCTCTCGCAGTCTGTTGTCTTTTCTTCATGTCACTTCCTCACCTATTGAATTTCCTGTCTTACTTGATTTCTACCGCTTTGAAGTTGAATGTGCTGTCTAGTGTCGTGTTCTTCGTTGAATCGAGTTGCCATAAATACTTTGGAGGGACAAAATGAATGAAGGGTCCATGGTGATGCAAATCTGCTTGCCTTGAATATTGTGATGTCTTACCAACACACTTACATAACAATTAAACGAGAACTAATCACCTTGAACGAGAGAGACACATTAGTGCGAACATGATTCTGACACAGGCTGTTAACCTTATTGTGATACTCATGATTCACAGTGTTCCTTGCCATGTTCGCACACCTAAGTTTTGTGCATTTATGCCAGACTCTCTTGCCTCGCTCTTTTAGTGTTTTAGTGTTCCTTTAGTTGGACACAGGTTTCTCCAGCTGACATCCATGGTATCAAACCAGAGATTTACGTACCCACAACTACGCCTCTTTGGAAAATGTCTCACTCGTGATTTGCATTTTGTCAGACTCTCGGCAAGCTCACGCATCACACAATGTCGAACTAATTCATTTAGTAGTGGCACATTTTTTGGAATCGTTTGGTTGTGGAGAGAAGTCATAGGTCTGACATCTGAAACAGGAAGTTCTGCGTCCTATTCAATTGCCGACAGTGGATATTCCCAGGCGCTGCAACAAGCAAAGGCATAAATCAAACGACTTTCTGTAATACTGACTCATTCCTCTAAAAGTAAAACTTCGTGCTCCGAAAGTCAGACTCCAGCGATAGGTCCGATTGTCCACCGCTTTTCGTACACTGGAATGCTACACCGAGCATAAACGATGTCATAATAAAAACAAAAGCAGCCTAAACCAACCCGGAGTGATTATGGTTGACAGTGACAATTGAGATCAGAGTGGAACTAGAAGCCGAAGTAATGGCGAAAGGGCAACACAACCAAGATGTGAACTCACTGGGATTGGTGTCAGCCAGCAAGACGGAGGAAGCCATGGAGATTCTCAAGCTCATGAGCGCCACCTTCTTGGTAGGCTTGTGCCAGGCTATCGACCTGCGTCATGTCGAAGAGACCATGCAGTCGGCCGTGAAGCTAGTGATACAGGTGGCCAAGAAGACGCTCTTCATGGGCAGCGACGGATTACTGCTGCCATCACACTTCTGCGAGAAGGAACTACTGATGGCAGTGGATCGTCAGCTGGTGTTCAGCTACATCGACGGTTCCACCAGTGATTCATACCCGCTGATGGAGAAACTGCGAGGGGTGCTGGTTAGCCGTGCCTTGAAGAGTGCAGACAAGGAGACCTCCAACGCAGTGTTTAGGCAGATTTCAGTGTTTGAGGCAGAGGTGAAGCTGCAGCTGAGCCATGTGGTGCCCGCGGTGCAAGAAGCATATGACACAAAGGGACTATCCTTGGTTCCCGACAGGATTCAAGACTGCAGGACGTATCCATTGTACAAGCTGGTGCGCGGAGACTTGAAGACGCAGCTCTTGTCTGGGCAGAGGACGATGTCTCCGGGGCAAGAGATTGAGAAGGTGTTTAATGCCATTTCTGCAGGCCAGTTGGTGGCTCCTTTGTTGGAATGTGTTCAAGGCTGGACCGGCACACCAGGGCCCTTCCCCGCTCGCGCCTCTAGCTAGTTGACACTGCTTTATCTCCCAATATTGCCTCGGGTCGTCGATTCATCTTCGTGTGTTACATTGACATTACAATTAATATTTAACATTTGTAGGAACTGTAGGAGAACTGTAAAGGCTTGAAGTTGAGGTTGTGTGGTGCCTTCACCCTTGACCTTTGTTAACACAGAAAGCACTGCAATCCATCAAGAGCTTTTCAATTGCAATGCGTAGTTGTGTATATATTTCCTAACTTCAGAAGCAGAAGGAGAAGTAGAAGAAGAATGAGTCTCTTGTTTGCAGGCAAAAATGAATAAAAGTTCACTTCAGCAACAGCCGACATCTACTTGAGTGGTTAATTGTTATAGTTTGTTTCTATGTGTTTGTCTGTTTAGTGGAGTTTCAGGAGGGTGGATGTTTAGTGATTGAACTATTGATCTTTCATTGATATCTCCTTTATTTAGTGACTTAGCTTCTGTCGAAGCTAAACATTCATGAATTTGTTCAGGTATGGGTTTCTTTTGAACGTTGTTGTTAGCACAAGATAGAATTGTTTTCAAAATTTTATCAGACTAGATCATGAATGGCTACAAGATGATTTTAACTTTTTTATCCCTCTGCGTGTTACACCATGCTCAAAATGTCTAGAATATTTACATCATTTAACATATTCCAACTACATTTGAATTTTGAGAATTTAGTCAAATCTGTCGGTGGAAATTGTTTATGTTGAGATCATGGCCGGCCATTAGCTGTTGCCGATTTTCCTAGGCCAATACTTGTTCATTGCCGACGTGATACAATCAAAGTAAAAACAAAGTCCAAATCAAAATTTTCTTCCGAAGGCTCTATCCCCAAAACCCTTGCAAGAACCCTTGCAAGGACGCTGCTCCAAAACCTTGCCTGCTGATTGGTCAGCGGGGTGCTGTCGGAGTGTCAATTAAGCTCTCCTCTCGAACTGAAGTCCAATTTCAGAGGCAAATCAGCAAAATTCTTTAGACAAGATCAGCAGGTCCCTGAGAGATGGCAGTGTGTTATTTGAAAGCTGCAGTATTATTAATATCTGCCTTGATTCTAAGTGAAATAAGGCTTATTTGGCTTTTGCCATTTCCTAAGTTTGACGCCCCTCTAATATGGTTTTCTTCAAAGAAACTTTATGAACTGGTATAAAATAAACATGTTATCTAAGTAGTTGCATGAACCAAGTCACACATAAATTCAGTTAGAGATGTGTAAGAAAGAATTCCAAAAACCACATGGAATCTGTTAAAACAAAAACTCCTTGTTTACAAATCAGGAGAACTAAGTTCCGATCAAAAGTCACTACTAAAAGGAGAGTGATCATTTCAGACGGAGCTCCTACATCCTACCAAACCCAGTTGATGTAAATTTTGTGCCCAACACTTGCAACTCACCTGTTCTTAGTCTTAACCTAGAGCTACCCAATCGAAGCCCTAAAGTGGCTTCTTCAATATATAATACAAACCACACCAAGCTTAACTCCAACATAGTGGCTTAGAACCTACCTAATACTATTAACTCGCAAAATTTGATTTTTCCCAAAAAAACATGCTTGCAAAGTCTAAAACACTATTCAAATGACCGCAGACTTGTGTCCATAACAAAGGTTACTTCAGAGAAATACAACCTCGCCTTGCTTGAAAATGGCACCTCGCAGTCCCACAGAACTACCACTCAACTCATTTTAGCATGTGGTCCTGCAGATAAACAGTACTGGCGTATTAGTCTCTCCTTTCCACCATTTCACATACCAGGGCAACAGACAAGCTGGATTGAAAAATTTGAATTCTCAGACATTACTGTGGAGTGCAAAAACGTTACAACATGTTCACTGAACTAATTCGACGTGGATCCTTAGTGCAAAAACTCAGTGGCATACCCAAAAAGCAGGTATAACCAAGGAAATGACTGTCTGATGATTACGAAAGAAAGAAAGAAAGAAAGAAAGAAAGAAATAAAATGCAAGAACGATTGAGCACAACCTCATGATCACCTTCTAAGAACTGCAAGTCCATGTCTTGAACATCATCCAAAGGAGATGAACTGCTGTTATCATCAGAATTGTTGTCATCGGCTTCCAACTCATGCTGACGTCGAGCAACCTCGGCTTCCAAAACCTTTAAAGTGGCTTCATTATCGTTCTCCCTTGCTTCATCCAAGGGTGTATATCCATGCCTGTGCAGTCGCAGTAGCCATTTAGACATGTCATTTCATAATTTCAAAAAAGTACAAGGGGCCGGCACTCTGGACTAAACGCTGAAATTATGACTATACAGTGCGTTGCCGATTCTGTGCCCTCGCTTCAATGGCATCTCCTAAAAAGAGGTCCTTCGAGGCAATAGGATGTTCATCCTCATCTGGTGCTCACGATCTGATAATAGAAGTCATTTGTCCTTCTGAAAAGGAGATATACAACGCTTCTCCACCACTGCTAGACATTCTTTTTTGAAGTAATACAAGGAAAGCCCCTTGCAGCGTATTTCCGAGTATCTAGAATGTTCTCCAACATAATATGATTTCTCCATTACTTTTTCCACAACATATCCATTCAAATGTAATGAGAACCATAGCAGCTTAAGAACATACCGATCCTTGACGAGCACATCAGCACCCTCTTGCACTAGAAACTCAACATCCTTGGCTGTTCCATCAGCTGCTACAATATGCAATGGCGTCCGTTGAGAGTAATCTGCCTCATTTGGATCCACACCTGCCTTAACAAGCCTCTCCACAAATTCCATGTCCTTGTTCGCTGCTGCCTTGCACAGTTCACTACCAGCATCCTGTCCAGAATTGTAATAAAAAACAAAAAAAAGTGAATAATCCAAGATTTAAAGCCTCGTGCATGCAAGAATCGTACTGACGACCACCTTGAAACTTTCAACTTTCAGGTAAACTCTAACTTTGCCTTCAAGAATTAGATTCCAGAGCCACGAGAACATTAAAATTGCATCATAAAAGAATAACCTTCATTTCAGGTGTCGCTCCATTATTAAGAAGAAATTGTGCAGCCTGATCGTGACCCCCTTTCAACGCGTCTATAAGTGGGCTTACTCCGTCATTATCTACTCAAACCAAAAATAGAGTTAGGTTTTTCCCCCATCAGTGGCAGCAGATGCTAGACAGAAGCAACACTGACATACAATAATGTCCTATCAGTCCAGGCTCACCTTTAACATTGACTTCAGCACCTTTCTCCACCAGTAGGGCTACACAGTCTAAATGGCCCCTCCCTGCAGCAAGGTGCTGCTCTCCATCAAAGCAATTCCAACCCCAAATCACAAAAGTCAAAACATATGACAACTGCCGATCATAATGTCTAATATTCATATCCAGTCCAATATCTTGGCAAGCTGATGTCACCCATAGTCCCGTTCCAAAGGTTTACAAATTACTATGTATGGGAAGATGAGTTTGTTGTGCGGGGCAAAAGCCGACATGTAATCATGCTACTACATTTCCTTAATAGACACGTACCAAAGGCGTCCGGCCATCATAATCTGTTTCAGAGAGATTCAAGCCTAAATTAAAAGCTTCTTGTAGTTTCTCCACATCTCCTTGACACGCAATGTCCCAAATATTTAAACCAGGATTATCGGAAGTCCGTGCATTCACATCTCCAGAATGTGCGTTTCGGAACTCGGCACCCAACTTGTGTATAGCTTTGGCCATTTCTAGTGCGGCAACAGCGTACTGAGCTGCTTGGATGGGGCTTAAAACATCGAACAATTCCTGGAGGGTTCGTAGCCTAAGCGTTTCAGCTTCAACAAACAGATCTCGAAGTCCTGCAAGCTTAGGCTCTATTGCTTCCCTTATTTCGGCCATATTAAAGCAGTCACTTGAAGGAGGATCAGCTGTGGTTGCACGAGTCATTTGCTGATCTGCCACCAACATCTGTAGACTAACACAAAACCCTTGTAAGCCAAAAAGCCAACCAGTTCTTCAAGTCCACTATTGTCATAAAGTTCAGATTTAGGGTTCAAGCATGTACGCTTCGTGAGATTGGTTTGGGGAGGCATGCCCGTTAACACGCGTAGTCACTATTCTATAAGAACAAACGAACAATTTTCTACCCCACCCAGCATCAGGAAAATCAACCCGCGATGATTGAAAGCATCAAAACATACCTGTAGCACAGCAAGGCGATTTGAGATTTCGTCCTCTTCTGTGGAAGTATGTTGCTGAAGGGCGTTCAACCTGAAAGCATGCATTTCAGGGTCAGTGATTACATTGTTTACAATCTTAGTACGTGCAGGAAGGCACTTAAAGAGAGCTGGCAGAGCCATGGTTTCACAAGATTTGCACAACTACACACAGTGCAGATCGCTGTTAATGTGAAACAACTGTTCCAGCATTGAACATAGAGTACAGAACTGACTTAGCAAGTTGCTTGGCCGAGAGGGCTGCCATGGACGATACGTTGATGCCTTCAAGCAACCGCTGAAGCTCGTTCTCTATTTGTAACCCTATTAAGGAAAAGACCAACACTATGGCTGTGGTGGGGCGCCAACCACCCATCCACATCATCCCTGCTTCGAAAGGGGTTTTCCAAGCTCCGGTAGCAATGTAAGAGGCATCTTCATGGGCTGCTCGGACTTTTGCGTGGGCAGCTTCCGTATAGTGGTCGTAACATTTCTTCACCAGTTTGGCACACTCTTGTTCATCTCTGTGTTCCTCCAGCGCCTTCTTCAGTTCAAGAAGCAGTGCATCTTCCTGCTCTACCCAGATAAAATGGAATTTCTTGAATGAAGGTATGGACATAAGGGTCCGGCTTTCAGCTTCATCGTCCATACCTCTTGCAGTAGACTCATTGGCTCCTGGCTCAAGGAGGACAGAAGCCGTCATATCGCCTATCGCATAGATTGCCACAACATCTATGTTAGATACACGGACAGGCATCGCTTGGTCACTCATTCGCAACTTATTTCCGGTTGAGTGCTGTTTTCAACCATAATGAATAAAAAAAAAAAAAGTAAAAACTGCGTTCACGACACGGAAGATTTCGCTTCCCTCCACGAGGAAATGCCGTGACAATATACACATATCAAACCATCGTAATCACTGCAACTGCATGGACCTTCTAACACAAGCACCAAATTTGTGAACCCACTTGAAAACTTTGACCTAAAGATTTGATCATTAGAGCCAGATGCCGGAGTTAAAAGTAGACTGTCGTCGTACCTATGCAGCACAAACAAATCTACCGCCAAGTTTTTCAATTGCGAAACAGTACTGTGCGAAACCATCTGCGGTTGATTCAGCCTCACACTTCATTGAGAAGCCAACTGCACCAAGCATCGTGGCAATACTAATTTCGCAATAGTTACACAATGAACTTCAGGACTGTAGCTTGTGAAGAGCAAGCGCCTGTCGTGCCAATGCTCCTAGAGAAACAGGAAACGTAAGAGACGATAAAACAAGAGCGGGAGGACCAAAATCAAGCTATTTAATAGCAGGAGACTATTCTTGACTTTACCACCACGAGATTTTGTCTCATTCGCAGTAGCTCAGGCCAGAATGACAATGAACTATCCTCAGATTTGATGACAGATACACACCCCCCACCTCTACTCTCTAGTCGTATCATAGATCTGGAGATGAAAGCAGCGGCATAAGGGGGGAAGAAGAAGAGGAGAATGAGGAGGAGGAGGAATGAAGATGAAGAAGAATTCCTTCCGCTTACGACTCCAAAAGTGAACAAGTGTGAGCGATGCTATCCCGGCACTCACTTTTTCTCAAATCATTCGTGCGGAGCAGACTGACAGTTACAATCGGTTCTTTAGGGAATCGAAATGTCGCCGCAGCCACTGCCCTAGCAGCGCGTCCGATTCCAAGCCACTGGTAGATGTGCGAGTTCACGCAAGTAGGCAGGATTCCCAAGTGGGTGGCCGAAAGCTATCAACGCCAGAAGGCCTTTGCAAGTGGCTGCAAAAATTTCGCCTCCCCATTATAATAATATTCTCATACACATACACACATTTATATATATGTATATATATATATATATATATATATGTGGAGGCATTTTGTTTTTACACACGACACATATTCCCCCACGACCCGCATTTGTTCCTTTGGATCTCCACTCTACAACCCATCAATTTAAAGTGCCGTAGGGTGTGAGGAACTAGGCCTATATTCCCGTCTAGATACACAATAATCACCCTGCACTCAAATCCGGCAAGTGCGGTATTGTGGAATCCGAAGCTCCCAATCAAGGCTGCTGCTACTCATGAGCCATCTCCCGGTTCTGGTGATGGATGAGGCACACAATGCATCTGTGATGAAGGCCGTCAGAGAGTTTGCATTCGAATGGAAATTTGCACCCCCACTTGCACTGGGTGAGTCGAAATGCTCACTCAAAAAACGTGGTAGCTATTTACAAGTGCAGATGCAACTGCAACTTCGGCATGACTGCGGCAAGCTTGAGAATCACTCCGCTTGTGCACCATGGGCAGTGGCTAGACAACTACTGTCGGGTCACATGAAAAGAAAATGAAAACTCCGATGAAAGACTGATGGAATTTGCGACGGAGTAGAGGTAGGGCAAGCGGGGCCCACGCTTGACACACTGACTTCGGGCCCGAGCCATAGTCCTTTCAGCCTCTTCTCTGCTGGCAAGAATTTTCCATGAGAGCTGGACGGCATCTTGAGGTTGTTGCAGCGAAGGGAGCATTCTGGAGTTGGATGTGAAGACGAGTTGTTTTTCTCATACAATACAGCCATCTGTCCGACTGTTTAGTTGCATTCTACTTTGTTTTCTGACTTGTTTGTCTTTAGCCTCGCGTGCTAATAATAAATTCATGGTTGCTGCATGTTCGCTGTTGAATTTTCCACGCATGGATAAGGTTTGTCATTCCTAGGTGTGTGGGAAACATGACGAAACCCGTTCTACAAGATGTTTTTATTCCCTGTTCGAGATGACATAGAAAAACAAATTTTCCCCCCATTTCAGAAGGAAAAAAAAAGGGTTCGGGGCTGAAAATTAGAAGTTACCTATTAAAGCTTTTAACCATTGGCAACAAAAAGCCCAGAAACAAAACCAAAAAAAAGTGACAGTGGATGAAAACAACCATAAAAACAACTGTAAACCATGATTTGTTCCAAAAGCGTGTAACGCTCGATTTGCACCGGAGACCCAAAAAAGCGCATGTGTTCAGCTCTAATGAATCCAAAGTTGCCTCTACACATGCAACATGTTCAGATAATGATAAGCTTTCAGTCCCATACCCAACAACTGCAAAATATTCTGAAACAAACAAACAGAGAATCCTTCCGCCCGGAAACAAGAAATCCAGAAAAGGAAGAAACGGGATGAGAGCGAATTAAAAGCGGCGTCTGGAATGCTTCAACGCTGCGATTGGGCACCGCCACGCCTGGTCAACCCACTCCACCGGCTGGCTGGCCTGTTTCTCACCATCGCCGTCGCCGTCGTTACGACCACCACCGCAGGTCCAAGACGAGTGGACCGGCTGGGGGGGGACGGGCCGGGACTCGGAATACCGAAGCTTCGCTGCTTCGGCCCTTACCACTGCCCAAGCCGCGCTGATAACATGCCATGTCACCCATGGTCATCCACTAATTGGATGAATGAACTGATTATGGATGGACGCCGGAGCTTATGGATGGATGGATGGGAGCCCCTGGAGGTTTATTAGTTATTATCTCGTTCCCAGTTCTCTCTTTGATCCTCCAACTTTTCCTTTTTCAGGTTTATTAGTGGAACGTTTTTTCGAAGGACGAGAGGAAAAACCCACAAAAGTTTTAATTTTTAATCTGCAAATATATATATATATATATATACATATGTGCAACGGGAATTATATTAATTTTATTTAGGTTATTGAACTTCTTAAATTATTCCAAGGTGGAGATACTATAACATCATTTATCAGGGTTGTGAGAAAATATAGCACTTTTACTTCTTCTTCTTCTTTTATTTATTTAAAAAAAAGTTATAAAAAAAATGCATGCGTTTAGAGAGAATGTATTGTGATTTTTTTTATTATTATTTAAAAAAATCGGTTACAAAAAAGCAAACAACAATAATTTATGCATGTAACTCATTTTTATATGGTGTAGGGTTTAGATCTAATTTAATATATATTTTTTGGTTACTTTAAAGTTAATATTTAGAATATGTATTGAATGTAACTGAATTTCGATAAATAAATTACTTTTGAATACCCAAATTACATATTTAACTGCTATTTTGAAGAGAAAGAGTTTAATATACATACAAATTTTAATTATAGTTTGTGCATAAGTTTAATGTAAATTCTACAATCTCTAAATTTGTATATATATTAAATCAAAAAAAAATTAATTATAGTTTCCTTTTCTATTTTTCTATTTTTTATAGTTTTTACTAAAATTTTGTGCTTGAAATATTTTATTGTTTCTAACAGGTTGGATTTTATAATTCCAACACCTGAATAGTATTTTTAAGACGTAAGTCATATTATATAAACCAAATACACAAAGTAAATTATTTCTTAAAGACTATATCAATCACTATAAGCAAACTTTTAAAATGAATTGTTTTTTATTTTATTTTATTATGTAATTATTTTATTAATCAATTTAATCATTTAAAACATATCTTATCAGATTAATGCCGATCATTGAAAGAAAAGAAAAAAGAAAACAATTCATGAAGAAAAATGATGATTCTACAAGGGTTATTTTTTCTATTATTTTTTTATTATTTTTTTGTGTGCATTTTTTATTTGGATCATTTAGAACAAAGATTACTAAATCACATTTGATAAATATGTTTGATTTTAACCAAATATAAACAAAAATAGGACTTTTTAAAAAAAGAATTGAACATGTTTGTATATATACAAATTTCTTAATCATAATAAGTAAAAAATATATATACATATTAATTTTTTTATTTAATTTATGGGATATTAAAATAATTATAGTGATTGATACCGTATATAACTATTTTACATGTTGATACTCTTAGAAAATCCTATTGTGAATTTGATGAATAAAATTTCATATTTCATCTTAATTTAAAGTATTACTCTTGAAGTTATGCTTTTTAACAAATAATATTAAACTAAATATTATTCACAAAAAAAATAAAATTAAAAATATAACCCTCTTAATATTTATTTAAATTCAATATATCATTTGCAAATTGACCATTTGTACAACTCAAATAAATATACTAGCAAATTTTTTTGATCTTTATTAATCATTTAATTGTAATTAAAAATTAAAAAATTATTTTGTATATGTATATGTATACTTATAAAATCATAAACTTATATCTTCTTCATTTTGATAACTTAAAAATGTACACAAATTAATTTAGGGTTTAAAGTGCACAAATGAGTTTGTGGTTATGAGCATGCACTCATCTATACATTTATGTTATAAAAGTCATTCAGAAGTCATATAAAATCAAAATATTTTTTGAAACTTTCTTTCAATCATTTTATTTTAAAATTTTAATTCGAAAAAATCTGAATGTCTGAATTATATTACTAGAATATACACTTTTATTAATTTATTTTAAAAAATAAAATTACAATTATAAGATACATCAATCTGATACATCTAATCTACATTAAATACTTGTGTTTTGGTTTGAGGCGTACATAATATAGGAACCCACAGAAGAAACAAAAAAAAAAAAAAAAGAAAAAAAAAAAAAGAAAAATCCATTATATCTTCAGAAGTTGTAGTTATATAATTATGACTGAACATATATTTTTGAAATTATTTAATTTAAAAATATCGGTAACTTGCAAAAATAATTATAGTATGCATGCACTTAAACAAATAATTCATTATGATAATTTACAATACTCAGTTGTTTGATATGAGAAATTAAATGATGATAATCATTTTAACAACAATAGAATCTGCTAATTGTAGTGGAAGTTTATTTAGTGCACAGAATTTGGAAAATGAAAATTTTAATTAAATAGAGAACACAATTATCATTTTTTTGTGAAAAAAGTTCTCTGTCCGATAAAATTTTATCTAAAAGAATGAATAAGAAACTAACGAACACCAAATGCTGTACCTTTTCTGAAATTTTTATTTTATTTTTTCTCATTTGTAATTTATGAAACCTCCAAGCTCAATGAATTTTCATCATTGTAATCCACCGCACTTAAGAATTCTACCATCCTGCGAGACTTCACTGGCAACACCGACATCTCCACAACCCATCTTTCAATAGCACCCATTCATTTTCATCTTGCAACTGCTGATGAAATAAACTATACTCTTTTGTTGGTATAACTCGTCTCCTTCACACTTTGAGGAAGACAGTCAATATCCTTTCTGTTGAAAGACAACGTATCAAAAGACATATGTGGCAATCAAACATGTGAAGCTTTACTGGTTTGTAAATAGATTAGAGTACCACCCAGCTCTTATTAGTACAGTGCCGCATTTTAATTGGGTAGTTCGAACGGCCATGAGGTCTTAATCTCAAGAATGTTGTGGAGCAGATCAACCATGGAGAAAGGCTGTGATTATCGCTAGAAAGTTGTCCCGACAGAGGAGATAGACAACATGAACACGAATATGAACTCCCATGGTTTCCATGTTGCCACCTAGTGACTTGCGCGTTGTTTCAAAACATTACGACATGACAGCAGCCTTAGAGCCGCAAATTGCCTTCCTTCTCAGCTCCAACTCCCAGTACACCCACACTAAAGGCATGGATTGATTCGCAAATAAAAATAAACATACCAAAACCTTTGTAGAGGTAAAAGCTATATGGTCTCCCTTCGTGACCCTAAACAATTTTATTATGGCGGTTAGGAAGAAGAAAGGTCGATTGCTCGATTGAAGCCAGGGAGTCACCAACCTAGTTGTCAAGAGCGATCAGGTTTACAGACTCAGTTTCTATGGGGCTGTAAGTCGTTCTTTGAGAAGCGAAGCTACTCGTTCCCTATCTACTGTTACTGCTACTTTTACTGGGGGTATACCGCACCAATCCGTAGGGTCATGCCACCTGCAATATTCAACTATGATGCATCAGGCCTTTGTTTCAAGGTTGACTGAACTTCAGAGATGGCCAATGAAACATTACAAAAGGTGACGAATTTTTAAGATTGAATATAAACAAAATTAGAAATCTGTAGTCCAGGCAATAAACAGCTGAGTTATAACTTTCTTCATCTATTTGATAATAAAAATAAAATAAAATAAAATAAAATAAATAACTCCATTACATAACTCTGACGCATGGAATGAAGAACAAATTCGTGAAAGTGAGAAACTTAGAACATTACACTTTGTTGGAATTGTTGAAGAGTGTGAGGCCCTTGCAAATGCCATCTTTCTGAACTCTCACGGCTCCCGTAGCATATGTCATCAATGAAGGGTCGACAGCTGCCACCATTGTTGCAGGGTCATGCAGGTAAATAGCTGCACATCCCACATAAATGAAATAAAACATCAGAGTTCAAAGCTATGAAGTCTGACATTGAGATTGCCCTTCAATCTCTGAGCTTTACCCCTCCAAATTCACAGTGATTAGAAGCTTTGTCGCCTTGAGGGGGTTAATCGATAGTCATTTGAAATCAAGAGTGTAAAATGGTGGCTAATACGAGGAAGCCAGTGCCAAGCAACTTCGTTGGATAAGGCTTGGGCACTTGTGATAGTTGTGCGCAGTCTTATATCATCACCTCAACTACTACATATATGCTAGGGATGCAGGCAATAAAATCTGCGGTTTGTATTACTGTACCATCTATGTCATACGCTTCACGATGATACGTGGCGTAGAAATGGGATGCTGCATACAAGTACTTCCCAAATTTGCTATCTGATCTTCCCAGATCTTCCAAATCCTTCCCTGCGCAAAAGAGAACACGATAGCATATACGAGTTTCTTAGTGCGCGTCCTTGATATTATTAAAAAAAGTATAGGTAACTGATAATATTCGTCAAACGGCTCACAGCTGGAACGAGCAATACTATGAAAATTTCAAGTACAAATGAAATTTGCGATCTATCGACACCAGAGGTTAAGCACCTTCACCATCAAGATGTTATTGTACCTTCAAACCTACTTCAAACTTCTAGTTTTTGAGGTGCAACTCTAGGAACGTCTACAGATTGGAAAAATTCATGGAAATTATAGCACCAAATTATAAAAGCAAAGGACGCTTCAAATTGCCACAGCATTCGAATCGCTTTCAGAAGTCCAAAGTTATGCATTTAAGATTACAGGACTCAGGGCACCTGTCCAGTAAACTTGATGAGTTATGTTGATGCCGACAACCAAAATGTCTGCTCCACATGTAAAAATAATATCTGCTGCTTCAGGGTCGCCATATATCTGCACGTCATTTCACACCCCAGTTTGAGATTCAGACTCTTTGTAAGAACGAGACATACTACAGGTTTAGAAACACCTCAACTCAAGAACTGTATGACAGCAAGGGCAACATCCAGCAGACTCTTAATTTCTATCATATGCCGTGAGCGCTTGGGGAAGAATACTCCCAGAGTACATGTACGAGGCGAGAACCAGAAAATGAGAGACAAAGCCGAAGGATAATTACATTTGCTTCAGCAGCAGGGTTTACGTTGCCGTTGACTTGGAAAGCGCCCCCCAAGATTATAATCTGGCCCACCTTCTTGGCGAATGTCGGATCGCATTCCACTGCCTGTCATCATTCATAGCCACATTTTCACTAATCCAACTGGATGAAGTCTAATCATCTGTGAAAATTCATCAGATGGGGCCATCGGATGTTCAAAAGTTGATGGACCAGAGCTACAGTGGTTATATGTAATGGGTGTTTCAAGTAAATACCCTAGACATACTAAGTATTTGAAATACCGCGAGCGAGCTATGCATTAAATTGCCATCAGGTCTAACTCAAACGTGATCCTAAATTCAACATGTAGGATGCTTGAAGGCATTCCTCTCCATCAAACACAAAATGTTGAATACAGATACGAACAAGACACATTCCGGTATCGAAGGCATTTACCGCAGCCAGGTTTGTGAGTGGACCCAGAGCCACGATCGTAATCTCGCCTGGAAACTCATTCACTTTTTGTATCAAGTAATCGGGCGCAAAAGTGTCGATTGGCTTCCTATCTGACAAAGTAGGATATGTATTGCCGAGCCCATCGGCGCCGTGCACAAAATCAGCGATCCGTTCCTTCAATTCTCCCTGCGTGGTCATTTTACTCAATCGATCAAGGTCTCGACCAACAAGGAATAGAAACTGAAGCATAGGCCTCCATGTCAACCTGCGTTGAACAAACGAAACTAGAAGGAGAAAAAACAATCTTTAAGAGCCATTACTTTCTTGCATGTTTCGGATTCGTGGCAGACTAAAGGTGAAAAGTAAAGCTCATACCCGAAGAGATGTTCTGAATCCTTCCGAGACGGGAATATCCTCTCGACCAGCGAATTCCAGCTGGAGAATAACACGAAAGCCGAAATTTAGCAGAGCAGAGATGCTTGGTGCGCAACTCAATGTCCGAGTGACTTGACGAATGCAATAACCATTACAGCTCACAAGGTGCTGACCAGCATCTTGCAAATTCTAAAAGATTTCGAAGCAATAATGTCTAAGGAGAATGTCTATCATGCAACAAAATCCCTTCCAGGTCCCAAGTTTCTACACCGACCAGAATAGTTACAATCGCTGATGTAATGCATTGTCGTAACAGATTTTGCACTAATGAACTCACCAGGATGTCAAAATAAAATCCAAATGTGTTTGAACATGATGAGGGGTGATTCCTACCAGATGGAGTGCATTCACAGTGGCTGTGGGTGTTCGCACGTTTCCATATATTGTGGTGAGGGCTATGACATCCAGCTCTGGCGACTTCAAGGCAAAAAATATCGCCATGGCATCATCTGTGTCACATGCACACACGTATTATAGGCTGAGCATGTCACTTGTGTAAGAGGAATCTTCCGTGGAGGAGCACTTGCAATGCATATCCCAACTCGTCTCTAACTGGTGTTGACAAAAAGTAGACCGAGTAGAATCGCTCGACCCACAGCATGAACACATGACGGTGACAAATTCCAAAACCCTTAGTCGCACCCGTGCACAAAGGTCCCAACAATGCAACACGCTGGTAATTATCAATTTCATCTAAGCACTAGCGTGATAGTTTTCAATAATTAATTCGGCACTTCTAAACAACCAATCGCTCAGTTCTGAGACCCAACCGAGCCGACCCGCACCATAGAAATCAAACAAGCGCCATTGTTAAGAGTCACAGGGGATGATCAACGAGGAACATCAAACACAACGCAATTCTGAAGGAATGTTCAGAAGACATGAGCAACGAACCCCAGGATCCCGAATTAATGTGAATTCTCACGAAATCGCGCTCCCAAATAAACGATAATAGTGAGAGAGAGCGGAAGATAGAGACATATACATATATCTGAGGTAGAACAGCAAGAAACGATAACATGACGAGTTTCGCTACATCGTCAACAAGGGACAGATTCCCAATCCTGAAATCGCCAACGGCAACAATGGCCACGAATCAAGCCAACAATTTGCACGAAAATTGCACCAACTACCACGCACCAATGCCGGGATCGGTGTCGATGATGACTTTCTTTGGAGGTGACGACTGCTTGATAGTGCCTACTACATTCTCAGGCACCGCCATCGCTTCGTCTACCTCTCGCAACCCAACAACAAAATCAAACACCCACGCCCCAACCCCTACTCTTTTCTTGACATAAACGCACCACAAACCGCGATCCCGCCCAGACACACGCGATCACTCGCCTGGCCCCGCTCTTCTCTGTCTCCAAGTGAGTTAGTGTGTGCAAAAACACAGTGGGGAAGAGCCTCTTCAAAACGCCACGAGGACGCAATGAACTCTCCGGAAAATTACATTCATTCATTCGTTCGAAATAGTACTATTTGCATTCGTCCCCGTCACCCGCTCAGGGAGTCTGACGAAGGTCTGCGGCGGAGTGTAAACGCGCGAATGAGGACAGGCAGGGCCTCGTCAATCATTCCTCGCGATGAGGAAGGACCCTGAAAGCGGAAGAAGGAATGCGATTCCGTGCTCAATTTTGTAATTTGGGGCTTCCACTTGATTTTGTCGTCGTGGTTGGGATTGGAATGTGCGTAAGCAATTCATCCGTGGTGTGGCGGTGGGAATCGTCCCCAAGCGGGACGCCGAACGTGAGATTCTGACACACCATGTGCTGGATGAATGAATGAATGGATGGATGGATGTGGATGTGGATGTGGCGGTGGTGGGGCTATGTATATCCAGAGTGGTGCGACTGGCGTTGCGGATGAGCTCGACCCCCCACCCCGTCCTCCTCATCCTCCTCCGTTGCAGATCACCATGAATCTTCTTACATTTCCTTCCTTGGTCTATTCTCCCCAACCATGGCTTATCTCCCCCCCAACCCCTCCTTCACCCCTCCTTCACCCCTCCTTCCCCCTTCCCCTTCCACCTCCACCTCCATCGCAACACTCCGCTCCAATATTATGCACATATTCTTGCATATCTATCTAGATGGTGAGAAGATGCAATGCCACTGGGTTTGACTTATCAACTCATCATGCTTGGAAAGGTAAAATATATATAAATATATATACGTACATATATGGACTTGATGGTTGAAACAAAATACATATACATGTGTATATATATATATATATATATATGTGTGTGTGTGTGTGTGTTTTGGCATTTGAAGAATAACAGCTTGTTTTATGCCAGTGATGAACTGTGTGCATTTGTGAGAATTTATACAATTGAAAGATGCAAATTTTTTTCATTTTCTTAATATTATTTTCACAACTTATTTCAATGCATATTTGTAGATGAAATCTTAGTTGAATATTTTAATAAAACATGTATGTCAAGTTGTTAGTAAGTAAAGGGATACTTAGTTGTAATGACTATTCATGTCCTTAGCAATCAGGATTACATCAGTGGTGATTACATATATTATGCTCAAATATACTAGTAATATATATATATATATATATATATATATATAATATGGATTATATTGTGTTAATTGCACTTGTTCAATTTTTCTTGTGCTTTTTAACTTTAGTAAGTTATAAACCTTGAAGTATTTATTTTTAGTGACTTGAATTGGAATTTGTAACGTTATAATAATTTTACAGCATATTGTAAGTACTTAAAAGTAATTTTTTTATGCACAGTAATATTTAAGTTTATATATATATATATATATATATATAAGTAACAGTGTTTTTAATCAGTACATAGAAGATAAAGTAAATCAAGAACAAATTTAAGGAGAAATTTTAAATAATTCATTCTGATAGATTCACAAATTTGATGTTATCTTAATTGCATATAAAAATATCAAGCGGAAAATTTAGTGTTTTATTCCAGAGATATGAAAAATACGAATATTATTTTTAAAATAAAATTACTAAAAATATTTAAAAATAAAAAATTTTCACACAACAAATATGTATTTTATGTAAAGCTAAGATAGAGTTATCATACATGTAATAGTAGATATTAAGATTGAACATAAATTTTGGATATATTCCATTAGCCAAAAAATACTAAACTTAATTCTAAGCAAATATAATGATAAAAATATATTTATGTATTGATTTAAAAAAATGAGACATATGCTTTTTATTAAGGGTTTTGACAACAAAATTAAGTTAAGATAAATCTTGCAAAAAAACATATAATTGCTTTAATTACAAAATTTGATGCTATTATATGATTGTTTTTTTTTTTTTTTTTTTTTTTTTTTTTTCTTCTTTACAAAAATAATTCCCTCCTATCTACAAATATTTTTTTTTTAATGTGATTATCATTAGATAGCTTTAATATCTATAATTTTATTGTTATATGTAGAAAAAAACTAGTATTGTGTTTTTAGTGGTATCAATTTTTTTTAAAGTTTCTACCTAAAAAACATACTTGGAGCATAATAGAATAAATTTGATGTATTTTTTTGTCACTTTATTTATTTTTTTGCATCAAAAAAAATCCTAACTTTTACTTTAAAATCTACAATTGCAATTACATTAATATGCTTTGCTATGTCAACAATATTTTCTAAAGATGAAACAAAATTCAATATATCCAATATCTTAAGCAAAGTATAGGCATCTTCAAAATGACAAAGTAAAGTGATGTTAAATATTATATTTGCATTCAATTCATGCATAATTCTACAACCATCTATATAAATAAAAGAACTTATATTAAAAAAAATTTAGTCCAATTTAAGATGATTAATTGCTCTCTAACATTAGTCTGTATAAATTACATGACTAATTTATAAAAATATACAAATTTACCTTATGTCAATCCTAAGATATATCAATATCACAGATATATTATACATGAAACCAAATAAGAAGTTGAACGAAAGAGTTTTAACAAGCAAGCTAACAAAAACTTGATTAAATTAAATGAGTACAAGATCAATATCAACAAAGGTGAACTAGAATTCTAAGAGATGTATTGTCAAGATTGAGAATCCCCTTAGCTTCAATTCTAATATAAACTAGGTATTAAGAAGTTTTTTAAGAAGTTTCCATGTTGTTTGAAGATAAAGCAATCTTAAGAAGCTTCTCAAATAACTTTCTTAATCTTCTTAAATTTTTTTTAGAACCTACTAGAATATTTTAAGAATCTTTTAAATCCTTCTAAAAATCAATTAGAATATATTAGAATCTAATATAATATTCTAAGAATATCTCTAAAATCTTCTTGTTAGATGTTCATAATATCACCTCTTCTTCTAACTCCAAGTTCTATGAGGAGAATTTGTTTTATATCTACTTCCTTTGGTATATATAACATCTTAGTAATAGCTTCATAAAGAAGTCATGCTAAAATAGATTTAGGTTTTTGAAGATAGCATTGATAAAATTCTTCTCTCTTTTATGGTGCATTAACTAAATTTTTTATTAGTTCCTACATACACTCATTAATATTGTAGATAGGTAAATGAATAAAATATTCCAACTTGCTTCTTTTTTTGTTAAAAATCAAGAATCTTTTCTACTTCATATTCCACATGATTATCTATTTCAATGGAAGGTGATGATTATTATATTCTTCTTAAAATAATTGATTCTAAATAAGCCTCTAAGAGAGAAACATGAAAGACTAGATGTAATTTCAAAGATGTAGATAGTTCTAATTGATAAGCTATTAGATTGATTTGCTTATGAATTCAAAATGGTCCAAGTCTTTGATAGTCCAACTTATCGCAATGTCGATTTATCTTGATATTTTGTTGAAAAAGTAATATTTTATTTCTAACTTGAAAAGTAAGATTTTTTTTTCTCTAAATTTGTCTAAAGATGCTTTATAAGAATCTTGAGCTGCTTATAAATGGAGCTTCAAAGTTGTTTAGAGTTGTGACAATTATTTTGTAAGATCTTCAATTGCTGGATTTTCATCTTTTGATACACCTAAAAAATTAAGCTTTTGATAGTAATTATAATTGAAATAAAATGATATTTTTTTGAATCAAAGCATGAAAAATATTATTATAAGCAAACTCACCTAAAGATAAATATAAGGTCCAATCATTTTATTGATAATTAATGATACATTGCAAATATTGCTCCAAAATCTAATTGATTTGTTTTGTTTGACTATTTGTTTAAAGATAGAAGGAAAGAGAAAGTTTGATATCAACCTTTAATATTTCAAAAAAATATTTTTAAAACTTTGATATAGATTGAGGTCCTCAATAAAAAATGATGTCATCACATAGCCCTTGATGTCTATGTATATTATCAAAAAAGTGCCTTGTTATTTCTTCTCCAAAAATTGTCTTTTTTCATAGAACAAAATATGCCATCTTTATAAATTGATCTACAATAACGTAGATAGTATCAAATATAATTACTGGCAAAATTTTAGTACTAAAATTTACTGATATTGAAGACCATAGTTGTTTCAAGATTGGTAGTAGCTGTAAAAGTTCATAAGGACAGTGTTGAAATTTTTTGGATCTTGAACATATGTCACACAAGATAAAAAATTCTTTTATGGCCTTTTATACTTGAAGCTACTAGAAATCTCAAGAAATATATTCTTATGTTTTGTTAAATGTGAAATATCTTGTAAATGAAAAATTATGATAAGATTGAAGAACACAAAGTTATATTGGTCTTTTTGGAATATATAAATAACCTTCATAATATACAAGATCTTCCATGAATTTAAATTTGTTGTTGTTAGGAGGCACTTGATGTTACAAACTAATAAATCCTTAGTTGAAGTTATATGAATTTATCCTACAAATGAAAAATCATGAGAAGATTGAAGAATATAAAATTGCATTGATTCTTCTTGAATATATAAACTATCTTTAAAATACAAAAGATCTTCTACTAACTTGAACTTGTTGTTATTAAAGGCACTGCTTGATATTACAAACTAATGAATTTTTAGCTGATATTGCATGAATTTATTCAAGAAAACTTGAATCAACATGAATAATTATAGAAGTAGTTGTCACGGGCATATGCATGTAAGCAAATAATTACCTATATAAATAAGTAGAAGTAAATAGAAGTAAATAAAAGTAAGTTAATTCTATAATATCTTCTATAGAAGCTTCTTAAAAGCTTCATAGATACTGCTTTGTCTTTAATTGATTTTTTGGATTAGAAACGTAGTCAACAAGTTGGCCATGTGCTACACATGTTTTTAACTTCAAGACCAAGATAACATACATAAAAAAAAAAACTTGCCTTGTAAGTCAAGGCATGTGTCTTACAAAGTCAATACATATTGGAGGTCCTATAGAACATTGTCATGTAGCCTTTAGTTAGATAGTATATATAGAGACAAGAGTGA